AGATTCTGATTTCTATCTAACACCTCAGAGTGTTTATTTACATTGTAATGATCTACACATGCATGATCTTCACATGCATTATGAATTGGACACTCATGAAACGGATTGTATGCGTAATGAATATGGGTAAGATAGCTATTCGTTAACAGTCTCCTTATCAGGTTACACCCCCTCTTCCAGAATGTTGTAATTTTTTTTTTTTTTTTAAGAGCTTTTGAATTTTTTTGTACTAAGCAACTTACACCTAATTTCTTACTGTTTACAGCATGGCTGCGGTATTTGCGCCTTTCAGCCAACACAACTGACTTTTTCAGGAATCTCTTCTTCTTTTCTTCTTCGTGTTCACCGTTTATAAATTCTGATGAATAGTTCTGGTTGTTCATCCACCTTTGGATTAAATCATCAGTGTCCAGGACCTGAATGTTGTGTGCATGTCCGTTTTGCAGGTTTGACTTATCTGTATGTAGACTGTTGGTTCCTTGCCTCTCAGGCAGATGCACTCTGACTTTGAAGAAAGCCCCCTCAGTTAGTTGACTCTTATGATGTGCTTATTGGGAAATTGGGAAGGCGTGAGGGTCTGTTGTCCCCCTCCCTTTTCTCCCACAGCGGGGTCCCTGATCCCACACAGTGATTCCGGAATATGTTGACTGGGTTAGCCTTCCTGGGTTTGTATTATTCTGTAAGAGGTAATTGCTGTATTGCAACACCACCTGCACTGGTGCACCCGAATTCGGCTCATACTAGTCATAGCTTATCTACATCTCTGTTTGATTGTCATAGGTGTGACTTCTCTACCAGGGTCTTGGCCAATGTGGGTAGGATTGATGTTTTCTTTGAAGTCTGAATGCATCTGCTTGAGAGACGAGCAACCACCAGTCTGAACAAATTAAGCCAGATCTTCTTCAGCATGATGAGCTCTTAAACTCCCATGACTGCTTTCATTCATCTCTTTCATGGGCCTTCTTTTCTTCACTTGGTGATCCCAGGTGTTTGTAGGTTTTTCTGTATATTATCTCTCCACCTTCTTTGGTCTGTCTACTGTGTATGCAATTTTGTCTCTGTGTTATCTGCCGTTCTCTCTGTATTTATCAACTATTGCACTCCATTAGCCCTCATGAAGCCAGATCTGGAAACAAACCAATGATTGTTGATCAGTGTGAGTTGCCATGTTCCTAGAGGTGATTACAATATTTTGGCTGATCACCTGCCATTATGAATCTTCATCACAGTCCCATAACAAGTGTTGTTGGGTCACCAGTTGCTGTTGACTGTAATCTGTCTGTCAGAGGCAATGCATGAGATGTTTGTATGTTTAAGGCCTGTCCATACAGCCAAATTCTTTTCTGCCTCTTCTCTTCTTCCCCTCTGCAGAGCTCACTTGTTTCATGTTGGAGAGGCTGGTAAATCTGGTTACATGTCCATACCATTGAATTTTCCATTCTTTTCACTGCTGTTAAAATAGGTTCCTTGTTGCCATTCATTACGTGTTAGCAGCACACGGTTTCAAATGTCTGCCTTATAAAGAAATCAGTGATGCATGACATGTCTATTAGCTGTCGGCAATTGCTGCCGTGAACAACTGCACATAATAAACATCTAATAATAGTATCAGGATACTCCAGTGAAAGGAATTACCATAATCTTCTTGTGGCTTACTTAGGGCTTCCAATCCACTCCTCCATTCTGTAGTATATCCTATGCAGTACTTTCAGTATCATATATGGAATCCAGTCTGACACCTCAGGCCACTGCATCTGCATTCATCATAGGGTTTCTTCTGGAAATCCCCACTTCTTTAGCCCATTTCTTCCTCATTTCAGTGCCTGTTTATGATTCTTAATCAACATCGTAACAGAAGATACCCAGTATATCACCAGTACCGACCAGATATTTTTATGATTTCTTCGTTTATCTTTCTTTTTTTCTGTGTTCATCCCAAGATGTAAATGCACTGTGCCTGTTTATAGCACGGCTGCAATATTTGCGCCTTCTGGTCGACACATCCGACTTCTGCAGGCATTTGCTGACTGGGTTAGCCTTCCCAGTCAATTTATCCCATTTAATGTTCATCACTTTTCTGAGGCATTTGTTCTCAAGTGTATTTGAGCATGGTTTTGTTGTCCTTTATTCTATGTTTTTAGTAATGAAGAACAGAATTCTTGAAAGTGAAATTTTGCAACGTTATATGATAAATAAATTGGTCTAGATATCTTATAAGCATGAAACACAATGTACTGTGAACTGAAATATGCAGTTATAAAAGATCTATCTATAGAGTCAGAAGGAAAGAGTGATTTGTAGACGTCAGGGATGTACTAAACAAACATGGATACAACCAGTGCTTTTTCTTGACTAAAAAAGCGCGGACACTCATCACAAAGTGCCTAAAAAAAAAGCATCAGTTTTATTTTTAAAATGACCGCATAATGATCCATTGCTCACATTAATATTTTACCACAGAAAATATGCATGTTCTCTAAATGTTTAGTTTGGCTTGTTTCAATGGGAAGGCTGATCTGGGCAACAAATACCTGAAGAAGTTGGATGTATTTGCCGACAGGTGTAAATAACACAGCTGTGCTGTCGATGGTCACAAAACAGTTACATCCTCGGTTGAATGCAGAAGAAATAAATGTCTTGTGTTGTGCCATAGACTCATTATACTTTTTAACCTCAACATTGTGCAGTTTTTATCTGTCTTCTTCTGACTTCGATTATTTGACAAATTTGGTGTTAAAAAAGGAAAAAAACTTCTCAGCAAGAAATATTGTTTGGATATTTTTGCTTCACCTCATTAAATAATAATATAAATTACATTAGGCTTCAGTTTTTCAAAACCCGATTCTCATTTTGCTGAAAGGTTTTCACAATTTATAATTTACAAATTAAGAATCAGGAAATTGTAATTTATCAAAAAAATGGACAAACCCCAAATTTATCCAGTATGATAATAAACTTTCTGCTCCTTTAGACTTACTAAATATTTTAATCATGTGTGCTTTCATATTATCCCTCTCTTTATCTCCTGCCTAATTTCTTTCTGCATCTCTGTTTTTTTCTCTCTCTCTTTTTTTTTTACTTTCTCTTTTTTTTTCTCTTCCTCTTTTGCTCTCTTTTGCACGTTCTCTTCTTTCTCTCCCTTCAGCTCCTCTCCCTCTTTTACTCTACCTCTTCTCCAGACAGTGAAACATATGCTCTCAGCTAACTCATACTGACATGATATTCTTTATCATCACATCCAGTTCACCTCATACCCTACCAGTCTGATTGACCTTTTCTGTAGTAAAGTAAGTAAGTAAAGATCCCTTTTCACACCTTTAGGCACATAGGGCATATGGGAAGAGCACCCATATTTTTACAGACCAGTCGGCACTAGTTGGGTAATTTGGTCAGCATTACGCCGGCTGTCTTTACTTCCCCAGTCCTTTTCACACCTTTAGGCACATTGGGCATATGGGAAGAGCACCCATATTTTTACAGACCAGTCGGCACTAGTTGGGTAATTTGGTCAGCATTACGCCGGCTGTCTTTACTTCCCCAGGACATACACCCTGGTACTCATTTTGGGCTAGGTCAACCTGCGACTCCCCATACCATGATCAAAATCCACGCAGCCAGCAGTGGGTTTCAAAAGCAGCACGTTGGAATTACAAGTTAGACTCGCAATGCCTAAGCCACCTACGCCGCAGCCTCTTCTATAGTGCATTCCAAAAATCATGCCCTCACACTTTAACAAATATCTTGAAAACTCATGTACAGATCAACAAAAATTTTAGCACATGCTCTTAGATTTCTCATGTCCTTGTGATTTGATAATTTTTGATAGTTTAGCCTGATAATTTTCAGGTTTCTTCATATATGTGTCATATATAGTGGGAACATCTTTTTTACTCACCTCTTGATTCACTGGAATCTGCCTACATCTATACTTCTTTGCCTTCACCGGCTGTAAACTCTGGTGAAAAGTCCTTGTTGTTTGTCCACTGCAGGACTTCGGCCTTACTCTAGCCCTTGTTATGTGCACTTTTCTAAATTTGTTGTTGACAAGTCTCACTTATTTGTTTGTAGACAGTTAGTTCCTTGCCTTTCAGGCAGATGTACTCTGATTTAGAAGAAAATATTGATCCCATCTATATTGGCTAGGCTTCTGGTTGAGAGCCATTTTCTAGGAACGAACCAACACATTTTTTTACAAATGGGTCATAAATTGGGCACGCAGACTCGTCTTACATTTGGCCTTTCCAAACATGCATCTTTCATGTTGTAATTGAATATTATCTACAGAGCATGTTGTGTTCATTTAACAATATACATAATGTGATTATCAAGTAAAATACACAGATGTATTGGTGTTATGTGCATACATACATACATACATACATACATACATACATACATACATACATACATACATACATACATACATACATACATAACATACATACATACATACATACATACATACATACATACATACATACATATGTGTGTACATATGTACGTACATATATACTTACATACGCTTGTACTTACATAAATGCATGCATGGTTGCATGCATACATACATACATGATCACGAAGAGATATAGATATGTCTATTCCAATATGAGCCCTAGTCCTGGTGCACCACTACAACATTGGTGACCGGGCCGCCCATTGGCTCGCCAGTAGATGACTTTGTCCCCTGTCCGGATAGTATTTGTTTTATCGCCTTTGATTGTAAAGACACTGCAAAAGTCCTTTTCAGGGCTATTTGGCGGCGAGCAATGTTACGCCATTTTGTATGGCGCAATTAACCCAAGTCACAATTATAACCAAAAGCTCTCCTTCGAGGATGCTGGATGAACGTGATGATTTTTTCCCCCTGCGAAACAATTCAAGGCACCACTACATAACTCTGCATCCCATACCATAATCAGTACTTGCGAATAATGATTTTTGATTGTGCTTTTTTTTTTAATAGTCAGTTGAAATTAATGATTTTGTTTGTTTTGTTTCAGTGAGGTTCCCATTATTTCGGCGAGGGCATCGGTGATGATTTATGATGATGCCAACAAAAAGTGGGTGCCTAGTGGTGCCAGCCAGGGCATTTCTAAAGTACAGATTTATCAGCACACCACAAACAATACTTTCAGGGTTGTGGGGAGGAAGGTTCAAGACCACGAGGTGATAACATGTCTCTTTGCATTTGTATAATCTGCTTGTCTCTTTTTCTTCTTCTTATCCTTCCTTCCTTCCCTCCTTCCTTCCTTCCTTCCTTCCTTCCTTCCTTCCTTCCTTCCTTCCTTCCTTCCTTCCTTCCTTCCTTCCTTCCTTCCTTCCTTCCTTCCTTCCTTCCTTCCTTCCTTTCTTCCTTCCTTCCTCTTCTTCTTTTTCTTTTTCTTCTTCCCCTCATTATCTTCATCTGCTGCTGCTACTCCTCCTCCGCCTTCTTCTTCATCTTCGTCTGCTGCTGCTGCTTCTCCTCCTCCTTCTTCATCTATGTTCATTTTTAGAAGGTCAGTTGGCATGTTATGTTGTGGTTTACAGGTAGGCTGTAATGTCTTAGCCTTTTCGCCCATACATCCAGTTTGTACAAATCCTAATAAGAATGTTACTTCTGCTTGTTAGGGGGCATTAGGTCTATCTCCCCTCCCCCAATTGGTCTTCATGACCCACAGTGAGGCATCATTGTTATTTATGAAGTCCTTGACACAATATCAGTCTCGCCAGAGCCGACAGGAATCCTTGGCTAGCTCCCCCTGTTGTATAATGAGCACCATCGTATGGTTGACATGTGTGAACAGACATGTTTCCCATTATCTCATCATCTCCAACAATGTATGAATTCATGCACTGACACTGTTCCTTGCTGTGACTGAAGGTCTTCTCTGTGCTCACCGGCTGTAAACTCGGCTGGAAAGTTCTGGTTGTTCGCCCACTTATGGACTTTGGTTTTGTTCCAGAACGTAAGTTTCGCATGCAGATCTGTTTTACACAACTTGCTTATATGTATGCAGACTCTTGGCTGCTTGCCTTTCAAGCAGATGCACTCTGACTTTGAAGAAAACACCCCTAATTATAACATGTTTGCTAGGAGGCAGTGGAGCTACCCCCTCCCTTTCCAGTGGGGTCCTGGCACCCACATAGGGATGATTGAAGGTTATATAAAAAATCTTTTTATGTTATCTTCCTTCATCTTTTTATTTTTTTTTAAATTAACCTTTTAAATTGTCACTGAATTTCTCTTCTCCGCTCAACTGTCATTAAAAAAAAAAAGTTTAGTTGCGTATCCTTTACAGAACGTTGCAAACCAACCCCAGCCATAAGTATTTGACCCATCTGTTTAAAAGATCTTTACTGTGTGTGTAAACTTTCTTCCCATTTCTACTTTTCGGTAGTTGACTTTGTTGGCTATATTTCCCTCCTGTTTTCTTTGTGTTTTTATATAAAGATCTCTGTAGTTTCCATTTGTTGCTGCTACTTCTGTCATCAGCTAGGCCATCTACATGTTTTCTTTCATTCTCCTTTATATATTAACTTTCGTGTATGTTTTTCAATTAGCTCTGAATTTATGAACTCTAATTTTGATGTTTAAAAATATCTTCAGTCAGTATTTGTGAATCATGATTTTGATATCTTTTCGTCACTTTCTTGTAAAAACTTTTAACCTTTAGACTGCTAAGATATTTTTAAAAATAATGTGCTCTATTTCAGGTGGTGATAAACTGTGCCATAGTCAGGGGACTCAAGTACAACCAGGCCACTCCAACATTCCACCAATGGCGAGACAGTCGCCAGGTTTATGGTCTCAACTTTGCATCACGGGAAGATGCAGAGAACTTTTCACAAGCCATGTTGACTGCTCTAGAAACATTAAATAGTGAGTGGCTGTAGATAGGCATAAATGTGGTTACTGACACATTAATGAACTTACTGGATAGGAAGTGGTCCAGTTATTGACACATTGAGCTTCTTGGATGAGAAATATTTAGATTATTTCATCATTAATTAATTTTTTTAATAAGAAATAATTCAGTTTTGACATATTAATTATTTATTGGATAAGAAATAATTCAGTTTTGACACATTAATAAACTTACTGAATGAGCAGTAAATCAGTTTTGACACATTAATTAACTTATTGAATGAGCAATAAATCAGTTGACACATTAATTAACTTACTGAATGAGCAATAAATCAGTTATTGACACATTAATTAACTTACTAAATATAAAATAGTTCATTTACAGTCACATTAATTAATTTACTTGATAAAGTAATTCAGTTACTGTCACATTAATGAATTTACTAGATAAATAATTATGTTTTTAACACATTAACTTACTGGATGAAAAAATATTTGTTATTGACATGTTAGTGACCTTATTATTAGTCATAACTGCTTAGACACCCAAATGTCTCCCTTCCAGCAAAACAGCATATGATTAAAAGTTATCCTTGCCAAACATGGACAGTGAATAGGGCACTAGAACATGTCTGGATTATATTGACAAAGAATGGTTTGGCCATCTAGTGAGAATGCAGCCAGACTAGACTGCATATGAGACTTAAAAGCAGAAATCTTGGAGAAAGGTTAGGGGAAGACCAAGAAATAGATGGCTAAATGGGTAGCTGAAGCCTGCAAACAGAAGAACAAATCCACCACCAAGGTCACCCAAGACGCGCAAGACAAATACAGAAAACCACGATGCTGGGCTGCAACCTGGTATGAGAGAGACCACAAAAGAAGAAGAAGAGTGAGCTTATTGGATGAAAAGTAATTAGATTATTCCCTGAGTGGGTGTTCTGGGACTCCATTTTTGGGGGAAATGAGAAAAGACCCACAGTCCCCTAATAAGCATGTCATAAGAGGCGACTAATCACGGTGTATCCTTCGAAGTCGGAGAGAGACATGCAACCACCAGTGTTCAAACAAGGGCAGTTTGAAAAGTAATACCTCCAAGGGCATAACTTTGTTAATAGCGGCAGCGGCGAATGACATTGATGTGACAATATTGTATGAGTAAGTGACATTTAAGACACGAATGGTCACATGTGGGTAAAGTGGCACATGTGCACAACAGTATCCAAAATGACGACATGCATGAAAATTAGGTTGAAGTTATGAGCTGTTATTAAATTCTTGATGACCGAAGTTTATATACTCACTGAGATGCATCAAAGAATGAGAGCAGAATAAACAAACTAGATCTGTAAAACAGATTAGCACTCAAAACTCAAGTTCCGGAACAAGACCAAAGTCTGAAAGTGAATGAACAACCAGAACTTTCTGTCGGAGTTTACAGCTGGTGAATGCTAAGAAGAAGACAAAGAATTTGGTTATTGACACATTAGTGAACTTAACATAACATAACCCTTGACTGGTTAGGGTCCTGGAGGTGTATTGATGGAAGCACTAGCACATAAAGTCCACCTTCTTTTTCTGTCCTCTGCTTGATGAATAAGTATGATTGATAACTTAGTCCTGTCCATTTCTTGATGTTGTCATTCCGATCTTATTTACTCTCCTCTTCTTTGACTACCAACCCCTCCCCCCCCCCCCCCCCCCCCCCCATGTTCTTTGAAGCACAGTCTTTGCAATCGAATCATGTCTCACCACATGCTCAAAACAAGCTAGATTGTGACGTTTCGCCACTGCCAAGAGAGGTTCCTGATGTCCTGCAAATTTTTATATTTTGTCTGTGACATATTTATTAGTTTTGTGTTCTAAATGACTAACTCATAAATTGTGTCTATAGCATTTACATTGAAAAGCCTGAACCCTCCTTTCCATTTCCACAGTGAGAGCCCAACTCTCACATCCATATAAGCAAATAGACAATTGCAGTGAACTTACTGGTTGGGAAATACTTTTAATTGCTATAATTAAAAGGGGAGCTGCAGTATCTGGAAGCTTGCCCAAAAGTCTTTGGTTTGAATATGCATTAAGGCAGATTTTATGCAAACAAAGCATATGAAGAGACACATTTGTAAAAAACAGACATTATGCAGTGGAGGTGGGGGAGGGGGTAGACCCAGTGCCCTCTAACAAACATGTTGTAGGAGACGACTAATCAAGAGGTCTCATTCAAAGTCAGAGTGCCTCTGCCTGAGAGGCAATGAGCCAGCAGTCTGCGTACACACCAGCCAAATCTGTCAAATGGATGTGCAAGTAAAACTAGTACAGGAACAAGAACAATGTCCAGAAGTGGGCAAACAACTAAAACATTTCACCTGAGTCAACAGCCGGTGAGCGCGCAGAAGAAGAAGAAGAGACATTGTGGAAATATGACAAATCAGATTTTTTGTCAGTTTAAAGTTAAAGGTGGGAAAATGCAAGGACGTGTTACTTTTTGGGATTTCACCATATTGTTTACTTTGAATTTTGCACTAATTTATAAAATACTGTTTGTGCTCCAGGTCTGTATCGCCAGCCGCCTCCAGTGGCTCCACCTCCCCAGCCACCTCTGCCTCAAGGTAACATCTATGCTCAAGCTATGAACTCTGTCAATGGACCATTAGAACAAGAAGAAAGGTTGGTGGTTATGAAATCACCTTGTTTCCTTACCACATTTTCTTTCATTGTTTATTTTGCTGATGTTGTGTTTTTATCATAGTAGTTAAATATGGCTGTTATTACTGTTGACATTTTTTTTAAATATATTCATCCAAGTCTATAACAATACACTAGTAGTGATATTCACTAGTAATGTCCGATCAGCTGGTTTCTGATATTTAAAAAAATTGTAAATCACTTCTTGATATTAATTTTGTTGCTAATTATTTCTGTAATTGTCTTGAGTCTTGTCTGGGAACTGAATCCTCGCATAGGGACAAGCATTATTTTTAAAAGGGTAATAGAGATAAAAAAAGGAACACACTTACCCGGACATTTAAGGTAATTTTCAAGTATTAGGTCAGAAGTTGGTCTCAAGTTGATTAGGGAGAACTGAATGAAGAAGCTGTATCAGTTTCATCCATAACGGAGAGAAGATAGCGGGAGGGAGAGAGACAGTAATTGTTTGCATCTGATAGTCTCCCAGGATCTCTGATGAAGGTGTCAAAACATTACCCTTGCTCCCTGAAGGTCATGTGTTTATTTTCAGACTCCATCGTTTATGAGTGCATTTTTTTGGGGGGATGGGGGGGGGGGGTGGGTGGGGTGGGGGGGGATCCTTGGGTGTTGTCACTGCAATTGTAGAATGTTATGTTATGTATGATGCTCTTGACGTGAGATCAGCCGCTTTGAGGAGAGAAATGGGCGGCCAGTTGGGATGAATATAAACCATTTTTATTCACTAGAGTTTTGAAGACTTGTGAGAATAAGGCCACATTTGAATAAATTAACTCACTGCTTGGGTTCCTCCAGGCCCTATTTTGTGGGGCGGGGAAAAAATAAACCCCCTACTTCCTAGCAAGCTTGTCAAAAATCAGAATGCAATCTGCCTGAGAGGAGAGAAACCAGCAGTCTGCATACAAAAAAAGCCAGATCTGTAAAATGGATGTGCATGCAAAACTCAAATTCTGGAATTGTATGAAAGTCCAGAAGTGAACAAACAACAAGAATTTTCCGCAGAGTTTACAGCTGGTGAACACGAAGAAAAAGCAATTAACATTCATGGTAAGCCAGTGATGGGCACACACAACTTGATCAGTGGGTACATGGTTGCTCATGTAGTCTGGGCTATCTGAAGTTTTAAATTTTGACATGGAGTGAGAATGTTTGATTGCACTCTTCTTTAATTGTAAAACTTGTTTCTTTCCAGAATACAACGAGAAGACTTTCCATCTCATAAAAGGCAGATGTCTGGTGGAGGTACGTTATTTAGCTCACCTGCAGATTTTGAGTTCCTCCTTTCTTCTAATCCTTCTCCTCAACTCACCCTCTGTGCCATGTCTTCATGGTGATTCACACAGGTATCAGAAATTTATTTTAGCTTCCGACACCACTTTGCTAATGCAGTTTCCACATAAGGACGGAAGTCTACAGTTTCGCTGCCTGAGCTTCTGAGTTTAGTGCTTGGTTGCAGCCCTGTGAGCTGTGTTTTTCATGTTGAATGCCTTTCATTAGTGCAGCGGTTGTGTCGTGGTATTCAATATGGCCGGTAGCCAGTTTACATGTGAGCTGGTGAAATAGCTTATCAAATAGTTCTATGTGTGTTTAGCCAACTTATTGTTCCCACTGCTTCCATTGACAACAAACTGCATTTCTGGTAATGACTGTTGGCTTTGGTGCTTCTAGCAACTGAAATACACATTAACTGCGTTAACTTATTTCTGGATTGTTCCTGGACTAGTTGTTTGTTTACCAGTTTTCAAAGGCAACAGTGAGGGACATTTCATATGATTAGCACTGGCACAGGAATGGAGCAAGTATGGGGAAACCCGATTGCAGTGATGTTGAAAGCTCAACTGAGACTAAGATTGAGACAGGTTTAAGACTTTTAGCCAGTTTGGAACTGGCACCTCAATATAAGAAATGTTCATTGACTGCTGAGGAACAGAACAGAGTGTGTGTGGGACTGCACCGAGTGCGACAGCTGTGTGCCAGGGATATGTATTGTTGCCTCTCTTATTTTTAACTGGCTATAGACTGGATTATGAAGGCAGCAACTGCCAACACCAAAAATGGAATTCAGTGGACTCCTATGAAACAGCTTGATGATCTAGATTTCACTGATATTTCTGTTCTGTCCCACTCACTGAACCAGATGCAAAATAAAATAAATATACTTGATGCGCGATCATAAAAGCTATGTCTGAAAATCCATAAGGTAAAGACAGGGATAATGTGAATAAATCAGGCAAATAGTAATGTGGTTTTTCTTAATGGTATCCCATTTTAAGATGTGGAGTCCTACATTTTTGTGGGCAATAATGTAGATAAAGATAGAGGAACTGTTAGAAATATTAAAATACAAATACAAAAAGCAAGAGGAGCTTTCATAGCACTAGGGAATTTGTGGAGGTCAAAAGAAATTAAAACTAATACTAATCTTAAAATTTCTTAATTCTAATGTGAAATCAGTACTGCTGTATGGAGCGGAAACGTGGAGAACAACTAAGGCAATTACAAATAAACTACAAACATTCATTAACTGGTGCCTGCGCAAAACAGAGGGAATTGAATGGTGTGATAGAATCACTAATGTAGAGCTTTTAGAAGGAACTAAAGTTCTACTGGACCAAGAGGTGAAGAGAAGACGCTAGCGTGGATAGGGCATGTGTTGACAAAACCTGAAAACAATATAACTAGAATGTCTTTGTGGTGGAACCCACAGGGGCATAGAAATAAAGAAAGACCAAAAAACACATTGAGAAGAGAGTTAAAAAGTGACGTTAAAATTATAGGAAAACTGCATACGATAGCGAAGGATAGAACAATATGGCGTGAGTTCGTTGAGGGCTGTGCTCCATTGGGTGTTAGAAAGGCAGAAGAAGAAGAAATGTTCTGGGGGAAAAAAATCAGCTGGTATAATCTTGACCACATAACATATCCATGTGGGTTCACGGGTTCCATTACCACTCATCCCCCTCCCCCAATCCCCACAAGCATGTCATAAAAGTGGACAAAGTAGAGGTGTTTCCTTTCAAGTCAGAGACTGAGAGTGCATCTGCCTGAATGGCAAGGAACCAACAGTCTGTATACAGATAAGCCATATGTGTATAACAGATGTCAAACTCAAGTTCTACAACAAGACTAATGTCCAGATGTGGACGAACTGCTAGAACTTTCCACTGGAGTTTACAGCTGGTGAACATCACAAGGAAGAAGGCTATGTAACACATTTGAGTGCGGTTTGCTTTTAAAAATTTCAGGCTATTATCAAATACCCGATCGAAAATGATCTTTTTACTACTTGACAAAGACAGGGTCACTGTCCAGGTACTTCATCTATGCGCTGTGTTACATTGAGGTGAAAAATCAGGATGGAATTGGAATAAAGAAGAAAGTTTAAGAAAATAGCTGAGCATATAAGAAGGAAGAAGCACATTAATTAAATACGTGTGATAGCAGTAATGGTCCTGAAATCTCATAAACTTATTTTGGAAGATTCTTTTTAATGTGAGCAGGTTTGTTAGTCACACTTGGAATCGCCATGGACTGTGATTCCTATGCCTCCCTACAGCACAGTATAACACAGTCTACACAGACGGATCCGTAAAGCGCAAATCAAGGTCAGCATGGGCATACACAGCACAAAGGATAGGGAAAACAAGAAAACAGTGGTGCTTACCAGGCAACTACATCAAGCATGACCATGGAGATAGCCACTGCTTTTAGAGCACTAGCATAAGCAGCAGAGCAAACAGCCATACATGCAGTAATTGCATCAGTCTCTGTGAACTTGCTTTAGTAGATAGCAACAGGCAGTATGCGCTCTGAATGGGTAAAAGCATTTGAATATCGCACTTAGCCTCCCTCACCTGGATCTACACACCTGGTCATGCTGGCGTAAAGGGTAATGAGCGAGCAGACACGTGTTAAGAAGCATTGACAGGGCAGATGTCATCAACACTGTACGGATTGGGCTAGTTGATAATGATGAATCTCTGACACTAACACTATTGCTTGACATGGGAGTAAAGCTGGTAAAGCACGCCTATGCTGCCTTCTAGGCTGAGATAGGAGACATTATAACCAACCTCTCATGAGAACAATTAGTAGAAATACCTTGGAGTGGTTGCTACATTGGAGGACTGCGCACGCATGGGAATGCCTAATGTGCAGTGACATCGATTGTGATCACATAACGGTCGGAAAGAAAGAAAGGTGCCAGCCAAAGACAAAGTCCGGCTTAGAGCCATACTGGTCAGTAAACTTTGACTGAACCTAACCTAGACATTCCTGTTAAGCACTTATCACTTCTTCACGGCTGATACTCTTGTAGATATACTTCAGTCTTATTGTAATTCCATTTAATATATACCCATTATTAATTATTTCAACAGAAGCTGCTGAACACCTCATGAAGGTTTGCTCTGTGTGCTGCCACCTTATTAGGATTAGATTAAATTCATAACCTGCACAGTTCTTGGTGACTGTACTAGTCAGGGGGCCCTAAATCCTGAGGCTCTTCTTCTTCTTCTTCTTCTTCTTCTTCTTCTTCTTCTTCTCCTTCTTCTTCTTTGCGTTTGGTTTTGTATGCTCAGATCAGACCATCAGGTGGATTGCCTCTATAAGCTTGCATGTCAGTAGCAGGTCCTTCATTGGTTCCTGCAGCAGGTCCTCCATGGTTTCTCATAGCTTGCTCTGCACACTTTGCTTTTGAAGCCAGGTGCCTTTTCGAAGTTGTATGTCGAGTGGGCAGGTCTGCAGAATATGCTCAGGTGATTGTGGTCCTTTCCTGTCCTGAGGCTGAAGATGCTCCCTCTCTGCACTGCCCTAAACGTAGTAAATATATGTTGTAAAGACAGAGGTGCAGACCTAAATTTAGTTTGTGATATGTCTTTTAACAAGTTACTTAAATGAGGCAGTCACTGAAGATGTAAAATTTGAACTTTTGAAACATCTTTCAGGTGCCAGGGAAGCCTATTCAGAACCAGCACCAGTTGTACCTCAAGCTCCACCGCAGCCACCAGCTTCGGCGCCTCCTGCTCCCCCAGCACCTCCTGCAGCCCCTCCAATGCCCACTGCTGCTCCTCCAGCACCCCCTGCGCCAGCCCCCCCTCCTCCTCCTCCAGCTGGTGGACCTCCTGCTCCACATGGTGGACCTCCTCCTCCATCTGGAGGACCACCTCCTCCCTTTGGTGGACCACCACCTCCTTTTGGTGGACCACCTCCTCCTTCAGCTGGTGGACCACCCCCACCCCCACCTATTCCTGCAGGTGGGTTCAGCGCCCCTGGAGGAGGCGGAGGAGTTAATCAGGGAGGACTAGCTGCAGCTCTCCAAGGAGCAAAGTTGAGGAAAACAATCAAGGTGAATTTCTTTTATTATTTTAATTATTGATAGTTGTTGTTCCGACCCCACCCCCACCCCACCCCCGCAAGTTAAGTCTTAATGAAGAGCAGTCATATACAGAGGTTCCGAATAGATGTGTTTGAAAAGAGTTGTTGAAAATTTGAGTTATCATCTGAGTGTTTAGAATGGAGTCATCGGTGTGCACTGAGATAGTATCAGTGGTATATATGCTCATACAGTAGTCTATCCAGATTTAATTCAGATCTGTGTATGCAGCACAGGGTAGAGCCAAGTGTATATACAAAATCATTCTCCCCCAGAGTTGTTACACTCACGTCTCTCCTCTTTCTCTCTCAATTTTATGTATTATATAATTCTTTCCATAGTTGCTATCTATGTTAGTTTGTGTCTGTCACACACACGCACACACACGTCTCTCCGTTTTCTCTCAGTTGTATGTATCATAATATTCTTTCCAGAGTTGTTATCAGTGTTAGTGTGTCTCTATCTCACACACAGTGTCTCTCCTCTTTTTCTCTCAGTTTTATGAATTATATAATTCTTTCCAGAGTTATCTGCATTAGTGTTATCTGTATCACATTCACACAGTCTCTCCTCTTTCTCAGACATATCTAATGTTTCACATTTTTTTCACCCAGTCTGAAGAAAAGGAACCTAGTGCAGTGAGTGCAGATCGTGGTAACACAAACACTATCCCCATTGTTGGAGCCAATCGTCCCGCTGCTACTGGAGGTGGCCATATTGACATGATGTCGGAGATGCAAATGAAGCTCAGGGCCAGGAAGGCAAAATCTGAGCCAGATCAAGTGCAGGTATGGAAGTGATTTTGATTGCATAATGTTTTGATAAAACACTAACTTCATCTTAATAGAACAGACTAGGTCACATTTTTTTGCTTATGCACTTGTCTCAGCAAACACTCACATAAAATATGTATTAACCAAACAGCTCTCTACGTGTCTTTTTGTTGTAACTCATCTTGCAAGACTGCCCCTGCCTGGAGGAACAGTGGACTTCACCAACTAGACATGACAGCTAAGCTTTGGGGAAACCCAAGAGACCATGAGCTGACATTCTAGTTTATGGCCAAAACCGGATTAAGCACGTGGCCCAAGGGTCGCTGAAGAAGAAAAAGATAACATTTTATCAGATAATGGTTATTTCTTCATCAGTAGAGGTGGGAAATGGTGTGCTGTATGTATACTGGATCATAGCATTATGAGATGGGTTGACCATTGCTTCCTTCACCAAATGTTCTTCCTTCTTTTTTTCTGGTACTGATTTATTGATTCTTAATTTATTCTACAGCTGTATTCAGCTGAGAGGTGAGAAAGAGAATTCTCAAGAACTGTATAAATCCTTTCCTGATATTTGTAAATAAATCATGGACAGTTAGCCTATTAGTGGCCCCATTATTAGAGAAATAATAAGGTACCCTTTTAGAGAACAAGACCAAGAACCCAGATCCTAAACAGAATCCTCAACTGGAAGGTTGTTTGAACATGACCATGTGGATGGCAGACGAACAAACTAGCCATTGAAGTAATGCAGCTCCTAAATCATCATCAAATGCCTTTTGCTGACCGGCGTGCCTGGGCACCAGGAAATTTTCTAAGCTCTAAAGGCAGCCAGCAGGACATTGATACCACTCGTCGAATGCTGTTAGTTTACAAATAGGTCAATAGCAGAATTACTGGGTACAGTTCCTTGTGTGGGTTTCAGGAGCTCCATTTAGGAGAACAAGGAATTGATCCACTGCCCCCCCCCCCCCCCCCCCCCAATCCTCACAAGCTTAGGAGGCAACTAATTAGGGATGTTTTCTTCAGAGCTGAGAGTGCATTTGCCTGAGAGGCAAGGAACCAACAGTCTGCATACAATAAGCTAGATCTTTGAAACGGATATGCACGTAAATCTAAAGTTCTGGATCAAGACCAAAGTACAGGAGTGGACGAACAACCAGAACTTTCCAGCTAGTGAACATTAAAAAGAAAAGATTGGATGCAGGAGCAAGAAAAAAGGGGTTATTTACTATCATTTCTACTTGATTATTTATAACATTTTAACATTGTTTTATCATTTCAGCAATCTGGTCCTATTGTTGTAAAAGACTGAAGGTTTAGAAGAAGTATAAATCTAGAGGATTCATTTCATATCACCTGGCTTTATCCCATATGGCTGTGTCTTCCTTCTCAAAGTAGCTAACGATCTGCCAGGAATATTGCACAAAACACAAACTCTATAGCTTAAGCAAAATCCCCAGGGACTTCCGTAAATATCGCACTCACAGACTCAATGACACTGTTCATGAAATGAACCTTTGACATTCTGAACACAAGGCAAATGGCTTAGCTGCTTAGTCATGGAGAACTTCTTATGTAAAGTTTGATGTATGCATTATCTTCTTTTTTCTTTGTTAGGGTGATGCCGACACCGCTGCACATAATGCACCAAATCTATCTCCTGATGTACGGCGGCCATGGGAGAAGAATGCTGGGAATGGAACGCAGCCTAGATCAGGACAAGTTAATGGTTCAGAGTCACCAAAACCAATGAGAAAGTAAGTGGGAGAACTAGCTGAGTTGAGTTAACAGATTCCCTTATGGAAGTAAACTAATTAGGAGAGTGTTCTTCGAAGTTGGTGTGAATCCGCCTGATAGATGAGAAACTAACAGTCTGCACGCAGATAAGCTGGATCTGTAAAATGGATGTGCATGCAAAACTCAAATTCTGGAACAAGACCAAAGTCCAAAAGTGGACGAACAACCAGAGGTTTTTGCCACAGTTTACAGTTGATGACGTGAAGAAGAGCAAACATGGAGATGACAGTCATAGTACAATGCAAGCCTAATAAGAACTCACCCGACACAAAAGCATGGTACTTATAAGAAATTCTTCTTATCCAGATAAGAGTTCATACAAGAAACATTGCAGGGGATAAACAAATTTTACTTCACAAAAGAAATTCGCCACATCCAGGATCTCCTTAAGTGACCTGCATTGTTACTACCGGTTAAAACATCTCAAGGGAATGTTTATTAGATGCATTGACAGATCACAGTAATTGTTTACATTCTGCCAGGAATATGACGGAGGCGTTTTTGTTAAAATCTAATCTAAATGTTACATAGATGCTTGTATAATCATTAAGATGTGAGAACAATCTGCATCCTGAAAAGCTGTAACTGCTAAGGGTGAAAGAGTGCATATTGGTGTATTGGGATTCCAATATTATAAATAGGAGTGACTGACCAAGTTATCAGGTCTTTTATTTCTCTTATGGGAGATCTGGGGTAATATTCTCAGTAAAGCAATGGAAATTACTTTTTTTTTCTTCCCATCTGGGGGGAAAATACAAATCCTAACCTGCACAGTTAATGGCAGTTGAAATAGCTGTGCAACCAACCTTAAATCATCAGGCTCAACAGCATCAAGTGTGGTAACTACAGGCAGTATATACAGTTGTGGTTACAGAGAATTTAATCTTCCACTTATGCTCACAGTCTGATTCTCATATTAAAGGGGCATTACTTGTTTGATGTTTCTTCTTATGCCCTCCTCATCCTTTTTCTTCTTTTTTTTTTTTTTTTTCAACTTTTTCAGATTTGTAATTGTTTCTGTTTCTTTTTAGCTCTGTTTTTTTTTTTTTTTTACAAATATCGTTTAAGCCCTTATTACCTTTTGAGGGAAATCACCGTAATATAGCAGCTAGACGCTCGCCTGTGTATCAGTAGGTCATGGGTTTGAGTCCTGACGGAGCCCAGATTTTAAAATGACCTTGGCTCCCAGGTTGACCCAGCCTTGTGTGGTTACTGGGTAAAGTCCTAGGAAGTAAAGGTGGTCAGCGTGATGTTGACTACATCGCCCACTGAGTGTCAATCAGTCTATGAAATATAGGTCTAGCTTTATGTGCCTAATACGCTTAAAGGCTTCGAAAAGGGTCCTTTACTTTTACATTATTACCTTTCCTTTGGAGTAAACAAGGCAGGCCAAATGAGGGATCATCCTGCATGGGTAACACATGGTTTCTACAATACTGGCCAGGATTTGTGCTAAGGAGAGGAGGAACTTCATCCCTGGCCTTAATTTATCTTGGCATATACAATGGTCTTGAAATTATGTGTGCATATTGTGGTAGGCTTTAAAAAAGAACTGATGTTATTGGTAACACTTGTCATTGCAGTGATTTCCTATGCCTCCCTGTAGCACAGTGTAACACTATTGCCTGGAAAGATGGGGGAAATGCCAAAAAAAAGATTGTTTTGAGTCACTGTGACTGGTTGATGTTTAGTATCTGTGCCCATATTTTTTAATTGCTCTGATGTGTTTTCTGATTATATTTGATTGGTGTGTAATCTGCCCTGTTTGCTTTTGACAATCATGCATATTTCATATCATTCAGAGAGCAGTGGCAAACTACTGAACATTAAATTGCCCCGAAAAAAACCACACAACAGATAATAATTGCTGGGGTGGTTTGCGAACAATATGCAGCTAACCGTGTAGTCTATCACAGAAGTAATGGTAACATACTGTAGAGTGGAGAAATATAAAAGCATGACGACAGAATAAACTTACTCATTCCATCCCAAGCAACACCTTTTGTGTAGGTAACTCTATCTATCCCTTGGTCCCCCTCCATAACATATTGTTTTCTCTAACTTAACAACATTTAGTCAAAAGATACCAAAGAAATCAAATTTTCCCCCTGGTAATTATAATTGTGTATATTACCACTTTGAAATTCATGCACAAATGGTTTTTCATCATGGTCATTTCTACACTTTGGCATTTCCTGTGAAATCTTCAAGTGCCACAATTTTTAAAATACAGGTCATAAACCTATGGATTAATTACCACAAGAATGAAAAGAAAAGAAACTTGGGTCGTTGTATCAGAACTGCAATGATGTCGAAAGAATGTTTAAGCCAATAGCAACTGTGGGTTCCGGGGCCCCATTGTGGGGAAAACAAGAATAGACCCACTGCCTCCCCAAAAGCATGTCGTAAGAGTCGACTAATTGGCGAGCTTCCTTTGAAGTCGGAGTGCATCTGCCGGAGAGGCAAGGAACCAACAGTCTGTATTCAAGAGAATGAGATCTGTAAAACTGATGCACACGCAACACTCAGGTTCTGGAGCGGGACTGCAGTTCAGTAGTGGACGATCAACCAGAACTTTCCACCAGAGTGTACAGCTGGTGAACGCGAAGAAGAAGAAGAAGAAGACATAACTTTATACTTTTGAGCTTTTCTCTTCTGGTAAATATTTGTTTAGTGTATAATCTAACCGGGAATAACCATGATTTAGAGGGAGATCAAGAAAATATGTAATGAACAAGTCACAGACAACTTAAGACTTTAAAACATCACACCACACCAGTATAAATAAACTTCATGAAAATATAATATTTAACAGCCTCAAGGGTTCCCCCTCTGTTTTTTTATGTGAATGACGTCGTATACACACCAGAACCTACCAGTCAAATACCTTTCTTAAACGTTAGTGTATTCTAGACAAAGCATCAAAGTCTACTGTGTTCGTAAATTGTTGCTGTGCTTGTTATTTGACCTATACTTCGTTAATATAAATTTCTGTAACCTATGGTGCATTTCAAAGGTTTGAAATGAATTTTGTCCGTATTCCAAAGTTGTGGATTTCAAGCTGTACAATAGGCATGGCCGATAAGACACCTTTTTTTTTGGGGGGGGGGTTGCCTGGTTGATCATGTTCTAAGTGCACTTGTTTCCATAGCAAGGCGCACATGCCGTCTGGAAGTGACAGGTTCGATTCCTAGTGCGCTAACTATAGCTTTTGATTTTTGTGTTATCGTGTTCTTAGATCCTTTTACTTCTTTCTGTGAGTGCCAATCAATACATTTTCTGTTACTTTATGAACACATCCCACCAAGCATGCCATAGCTCAGCTTCCTATTATCTGTTAAACTATAACGTCTTGCCGCACAAGCTGATATCGGACAGAATAAAGTATAGTCTAATTGGAACGGCAATGATGTCTAAAGAATGTTGAAGCTAATAACACTTCAACTATTTAGCTTTACACTTATGACCTTTTCTCAGATACTTGGTGTGGCTGTAACAAATTGTTTCCTCAAATGTTGCAGACGTAACCCATCATTGACAGGCCAGGAATGTTTAGGTCAAGCTGGTGAGACTGGAGCACTGAGCGCAGATATGGAAGTCTTAAAGCAAGAAATACTGGCAGAAATGAGGAGAGAAATGAACAAGATGAAGAATGACATTATTGAAGGTAAGCTAATTTTTATGTATTTCAATTTTTTAAATTTATAATATTTAAAAACGAAAATGAGTGGCAAGCTGGATGGTTTGAATGTTGGACTCCTATCGAGATACCCGGGTTTGAATCCTTAGTAAAAAAGAGGATATTTGTTGTCAAAAAGATTTTCATTATGAACAGTCTATAATGACAGCACTAGTTATGTAGTCTCAATTCCTCATGCTGCAGATCCTTGTGGAAGATGACTATCTTTTTGAGCAGCAGGGTACACTAACTTGCTTTTTTTTCTTTTCTTTTTGCCTATTCAAGGCTTAGGGATATATGTCTTTCGGCATTTGCTATGCCTGCATTACATGAGAGGGCTTCAAATGAAAACCCAAAAAGTATGATAGGAGTTACAATAACCACATCATTGTCTTGTAACCTGTCAGTATTGTTAAGGATGTCAGTAGTTCTAAACACATCACAGCAGCATCATAATGACATTTTAAAGATGACTGACTCACCTTTGATATGCACCAAAGAGGTACAGTTTTCTCTTTTCCTGTTTTAGTTTTTTTTTTTTTTTAAATCAGTGATTCATTGATGAATGAAGGTCCAGTATAGTGATGCATGCCTGTCAGTCTAGCAAGTGTATCAGAACATTTCAAAACGTGGAGACTTCTTTGAGAGACTGTTCATGACAGGGTCAGGCACACAGAGTAGTGACCACATGGTTAATTGCAGTTGTTGAAGACCTCGTACAGGAAAACCGCCAGTTGACCGTAAATAACACTGCTGCACATTCTGACACCAGTCAAGGTTCAGCACACCACATCGTCCATGTTGTGCTACAATACCACAAAGTGTCTGCAATGCGGGTGCCACAGTCTGTCACAGAAGACATATTGTTTTGTAACTTGTGAATCCGCTCATATACTGGCTGGACTGACAGGCACACATACCGTACTAGACCTCTAATCGCCGATGAATTTCAATAGAATTCACCCCTTCATTTATTTTTTTTTTTAAACAGATAAAAGAAGGCTGCTCTTCTTTGGTATGTGTCAAAAGTTGGGTGGTCATCTTTAAATTGTCCTTATGACAACACGTGTGATGATGTTATGTGCTTAACACTTGACATCCTTAACAATGATATTGACAGGTTACAAAACAATGGCTTGGTTATTGTAATTTCTATCACACTTTCAACGCTTTCATATGAAGCCCCTTGTATTTAAACTACAGCCAGGAGTAAAGAGACAGAAGATTGTTTACAATCTTTCATTGTGACATGGAAAGATGGCATATGAATTTATACAATCTGTGAGAGAACCAGAGCTGTAAAGCTTGACTGACTGTTTTAAGTACGATTACCGAACATTTTATGGAATAATTTTTTCCGGGACCAAAAAATAATAATGATGTCTTGATTATCTCACAAAGTGAATTGATTTGTCTTCTTCTTATAGTCCATCCATACCGTGCAGCATTGGTAGTCCTCAACCTTCTGTTTTGTGTACTTTTAATTACTTCCAGCAGATGATTTTCTATGCCACTGTAAAACTGTCCTGCATCTTCTCACTTGGTCTCCTTTTGCCTCTTTTTCCACCATCACGATGTACTCCAGTTTCCTCCTTTTCCTGACATGGCCAAATAATGTAGATTGTCTTCTTCTGATGCGGGCAGACATTGCTATTTGGGAATCAGTCTCTTTCAAGACATCTTCATTGCTCTTTTTATCCACTGATTACCTCTGTCAAAAGAGAATCATTCACATACTTTGGGCACATTATAAGAAGAGAAAAAGTACATTGTGATAACAAGAAATATGAAAGAGAAAAGATGCAAGGGGAGACCAAGAGAGAGAGAGAGAGAGAGAGAGAGAGAGAGAGAGAGAGCATTTAAAAAAACTGGAAGAATGGCATGGATGAAAATCTATCTATATCAGAAATGATTGACAGCACACAAGACAAAAGGTTGTGGACAAATCTGATTACCAACGCCACACGTTATGAACTTTAAATTTTTTTTTTTTCAATACCAGAGAACTCATATGTCTTAGTGTTTCCAAAGATAATATGATGTTCTTCCTGTCTTCTGCTACAGACATTCATGTTATATGAACCTTTTCCATCTGTGGGTTCGGCTGCATTGTGGGAAAACCAAGAATAGGCCCACTGACTACCCAACAAGCATGTCATAGGAGTCTGCTAATTGAAGTCAGACTGCATCTGCCTAAAAAGACAAGGAATCAGCAGTCTGCATTCAAATAAGCCACATAAGTAAAACTGATGTGCACCCAGAATTGAGGTTCTGAAACAAGACTAAAGTCAAGAGGTTGATGAAGTTCCAGAACTTTCCACCATAGTTTACAGCCAGTGAATGCAAAAAAAAAAAAAGAGGAAGATTTTAGCCTTTGTAACTAAATTAGTGTTTAATAACCTTTGTCCTATAATGTCTCTATTCAGCTGTCAGACCTAAATACTAAGTTCAACTGATTGCTCACATCAGAAGGAGACAATCTACACTCCTTGGTCATGTCATGAGAAGAAGCTTGGTTTAGGTTTTAGCGATGGATCAACATCAAGACACAAGGGGTAATAACCTATAAGTGCTCTGTTCTACTTCTAACTCAAGACTGGGTCCAAAGAATTGTAGCACATTCGAGGATCCTGTAATACTCTGGGTAGATTTTTACTCCAAATTTTGCCCCGTTAGGCTACTTTTTTCAATTTCCAACTGCCAAGGGATTTTTTGTTCGTGCGCAACAGTACACACGGGCATCAGATCTTACTACCCAGAGATCAGGAAAAATTACTAGAAGTCCACTTGAAAAAAAAACACACAAAAACTAGCCTTTACCAGGGCCTGAACCCAGGACCTCTAGCACTCAAAGCTACTTAGTCCCCCTACTAGAAGGAGAAAACTAAAGTACACCTTGACAGTTTTAGGGGAAAAGAGGTAGAGAGAGACAGAGAGAAGATGCTGGATGGTTTTACATATGGCAAGTCAGAATTGATTGAAAGCACAGGTGGTAGAAGTATGTAGATAGAAGTGACTACAAACACCACACAGCATGGAATATAAGAAGATCAACTCCCTGGAGTAGAATCAGTAAAGTAACAGTTATTTCTAACCGTATAAGTCTAGATCCTAATATTTACTTTGGTTTCCTTTTCAGCTATACGACAGGAGATCAGCCATAGGTAACCAGGGGCAACAAGACTGCTGCCAACCAGTTTGTTTCAGCCAAGCCGGTTTATGACTAGGTGATGCCAGAGTATTTTCCTGATTTGGTTCGGTGTTGGCAGATGATAATTTTTTTTTGGGGGTTTAAATTTGATTTCCATGGTTTCCTTGTAATTATTTTTATGGTAACAGATGGTGACAGAAGTAAACAGAAATTTAAAAAAGACAAAAGGTATGGCCAAAAATATTTCAACAGCATGTTAAAAACTAATAACATCTAGAGAGATAAACAAGGTTAAAATTATGATTGTCAAATGTTGTTTATATATATACACAACCTACTATAGAGGGCAGATACCTGGACAGTGAACAGGCAATTGCAAAGTCGATTTAGCTTTTTTGGAGAATGGATGTACATAATAATAGCTCATATTTCGTCAAAACAGAAAGTCAAATACAGAGGCTATACGAAAGCTGAGAATGAAAAATGTGTTAACACAAATAACCACAAGATAAGTAAAATATGTTGACCACACTAAAAGTCATGGTCGGATAACACCGAGAGATGGACAGACAGCAATCTCAGAGAATGTACAAACATCCATTGCTGCCATTGTTCAAATGGCACCTGATTGATTAATTGCTTCGTGTTTCGACTTCAAGTAAAACTCAGTGAATGAATGAATGAGACTGTACATGAGCATGATTTTTCTGTGTACCTATGTGTAACATTCTGAAAGTAATTCTGCACATTTGTGCTACCACCAATTCTTTTTCAAATGTCTGTTTTTGGTTTGTTGACACTCCTTCAGCTTAGATATTAATTGTACACATGGCTCTACAATTTTACTTTTGTTTCTGTTATGTGTTTACTTGGATGCATATGTGTTCTTGGTACATTGGCCACAGCAGATTTGGTTCCATTAAAAATAAAATGCGGCTCTCCACTGCGACCAAGAGAAACAGTCCAAGTCTCTTATAGATGTATCTTGTTGGAAGGATGATAATACAATTGATATTGTATGGCATTGTTTTCCTGTATTGTCAACTGTAAGCTGACTGTTACCAGACTAAGTTTTGTTGTTGTTGAAAAGTATTTATTTATTTATCAGTGTTGTTATTTCAGAAAACATGTTTATTATGTTTTTCTACATTGCTTCATTGTTTGACCTGTGCCACACTCTGACACACAAAAGAATTGAATTAGATTATCCCAATGTTTCCCATTTGGCGGGACCCTTAAGGGCACTGTAGAACAAAGTTAATGGATTCATATCAGTTACAAAAACTCAAACTTTAGAATGTAATCATTTTTTTTTTTTTAATTATGACAAATTCTTAATTTATCAACATCATTTGCCCTGCCGGTAAGTGTAGTCTGTCATGTTTCGCTGTCCAGCACAATCAGTAGAATCAGGACACTGATCTTGTCTTGTCCCATCGATGTGACCAAGCCATCTCCTTGCTTTTCTCTTGCTATCTTTCCATCAGTCTGTTGTTGCAGAGTTCTCTAGTTTATTCCTTCTCATAACATGTTCAAAAAAATACAGACTGTCTATGTCTAAGTGTTATAATAAGTTTACGACTTTCAACCATCTTGACTGCTTCATTTGTTTTCTATCACTCCGTGATATTCTTTGCATTCTTAAAAAAAAGCATCTAATTTCTTTGTTATGACTTTTAAAAAGTACAATGCAGACCCTTCAGGTGATCTCTGATGTGGCAATTTTCTGTTATGAAGAAAAATTTGTTAATCCCTTGCAATTTTTCTGGCTTGAACACAAGGAATTTCTGATAAGAAGAAGAATTTCTTGGGTCCCTGGTGAGTTCTCCTTATCAGGACTGCACTGTATTGGGTTGCAGACCTTTGAAAAAAAGAAGGATCTGCAGGTCTAAGCTAACTGGTAGGCCACTGGGTTATCCTCATGGACATGTACATGTTTGCTCAGATTTCCTCCTCGACATACACATCAGCGTTCCATGGCTTATAGTGCCAGCCCTGCGGTTGTCAAACTACTGGACATAAATCTGCCTTCACTGGGCTTGTGTGGGCAACCTGGGTTTTATCCTCGCTAGGGGATGCAGATTTGTCAGGGGGATAAATAAAAATGCTCACCTGCACACTTCATGGCAACTACACTAGCTAGCTTAAACCCTCAGACTCATGACACACCCTCCCCCCAACACATGTCACACATCTACACACAGAGCAAATAATCTACTGCCATAGTGGCTCCAAAGTGCTAAGATTTCTTTCTCATTCATGGCATAAAAGGATGGGGTGGCCTGCTTCGGTCTTCACTGCATTTGCTTCCCAGGAGATTGTCAAATATCCATCTTACACGGCCAGGTCAGTCTCAGAGCATACTGCTTGGAACACTATTGATAAACATCGAACTTCACCAAAAGTAGCTTAACTAGTTTCTACATTTTCATGTTTTAGTTTTAAAATAACACTTGTCTTAATTGCTGCTTCCATTTGATAACACCATTGATTCATATTTATTGACAATATTCTTTTTGGGTCATGTATGACATTTGATTCGATAAAAAAAAAGTTATGTTTTAATAATGTTTTTTTTTATATACATTTCCTTTGTTGTTAGAAAATTGGTATAAGTGAACTTCGTTCCTTGTTCATCCTTTTTTTTTGTGTATGTCTGTCTTGTAACAAACATACAGAAACAAATAGCAGGGAGTCTTGTGGGCATAGAAACAGTATGCTAAACAGATCAGCTATATTGATTGTCACTCATAGAAAGAAGTGGAGAATACACTAGACATACCTATCTCTACTTCTTTCTATGAGTTTGTCAGTGAATGTTAATTTGTTTATCAAACAGTCTGAGTGTTGTTTTTTTTTGAGCGTACTGAAATGCAGCTCTTTGCTGTCTCAAAGGTAGTACCACTGGCCAGTTCTGTACAACTTAGTGGTGAATTTATGAACGACAAGCTAGATGTTGTGAAGGCTTTTTGTGTTTGGGAGCGAATGAACCGTACGGCGGCACAAATAGATCATTACGTTCTGTGGAGAATGGCACTGGAGCGAGTTACCAGAGGATCTGGCCGACGCTCAACAGAAAGACGAGATGGATAGGCAGTCAGACGGTAACTGGTACCATCTAAATGGAACTCTTCACTTACTGCTGAAGATGGAATGAAGCGCTTATGGGAGGGTCCTGAGTGCTGTAATGTTGATTCTTGATTCAACATGTCTCAAGCAAGTTATGCAATTCTATCACATAAATACGATGTAATATAGTATAGTGCCTAGGCAATTAAATATAGTGTGTCTAATCTAGTTTAGAGCCTAGGTAGTAGTAGGTGCAGTACTTTGTTTTAGGTCCCCTCTTCTCTCAGTTAACCTTCAGCATTGTTATTGGTTTACAACCTATCAAGCTGTGCAGTTATTTAATTAAAAGTGTAATTGTACGGAAGTATGTATAAACTTAACTGAATAAGAACAGATGTGCAAGTTACAAATTTATAAATTATTCAGAAGATAAAAAATATATATGTTAAACACAGAAAATAATCACTGCAGTGTAATATAGCCCATAAAAATACTGATATCACAGAAACCTCCAGTTAAATCAGTCTTTTTATTGCTAGCTTTATTTTGATGCCATCAGAATATTGCCGCCCTGTGCAGCTGTTAACCTACTTGGAGGTTGAACGGGGTATCGGGATCTGCCTTGCCATCCGAACTGAGATTTTGTAATCTCAGGATTGTATGATAAACCTTTGGTAGCACCTTGGGAGAGGGGGGGGGGGGGGATAAACTGATAGATTGATAGCAAGAGACAGAGGTTTTCATTGGTGGGTTGTGATGGGAGGGACATTTGGCTAATGACCTGCTATAGCAAGAGTGGGCGACTATTTTTCTGCTAGTCTGGCTTTTTATAACATCAAATAAAACATGATCAAATTAGAAATTTGGGTGCTTTCTTTTCAGCCGGCCGCAAATCATAAAAGACGTCACGGGACTGTCCAGTATTTTAGAGGGTGGTAAGAGCAGTTTTTCCGTGTTGTTTGTGCTTTAGCACGTTTCTTCCAAGACCAAGGCTATCGCACATTTACCTGACTCTAACCCTAAACAAAACTATATGATTAATCTACCACCCCCTGACAAATTTCACTGTCCCGTGACCTGTAGATTTTCCATGTTTGTGGTCAGCTAATAAAAAATTACAAAAATTTGTTTTATATATTAGGTCAAATGTTTAATTATGGTCGCTTTCATATGGTGGGTGAGTTAAGTCTTTCCTCCTGAGCCTAGGGTGGCGCATAGGGAAAATGTCATAGCTCACCAATGTCTGGCGGTTCATTGCCACCTGTTTTAGGTCTTAAATGTTCATTAGGCCCATGGTTAAGCCTTCCATGATGATGGTTCAACGCAGGGTCTCTCTTGATCTTCCTGATTTTCTTTCTGATGTCCCTATGAGGGTTTGATGGGATAGTCTGTCATCCATTCTGAGTGCATGGTCCATGTAGTTACAGCCTTGTTATCTTATAAAAAACTGAATACATTATCTTGCTTGGTCTCTTGTCTTATTTGCGTATTGAATCTGAAATCTGGTCAGTAGAGATTTAGTACAGAGCGAGACCCAGACCAAATTATTTTGTGGGTCTTATATGGCACATGACTAAACATGTCCTACTCCTGTGCTGCATGATGAAGATGTGAAAGTAAAAGTCTCTTGACACACCAGCGGCGCATCGGGCATTTCAAGCTGGACTCATATTTTTATAGACCAGTCATGATGAATGGAGAGTGAAAAGCAACAACAAAATTCATAATCTGTTTAAATTACCATTGATCACTGGCATCATGAAAGCTAATAGACTGAAATGGTTGGGGCATATTAAAAGAATGTCGGATGACAGAAGTAAAAACTGTATACACAAGGGAGATGAATGGTCATAGACCACGAGGCAGACCAAGCAGATGATGGAGAGAGAATGTCCAGACAGACCTGCAAACACTTGGTGTCACCAACTGGAAAGAGGCGGCCAACCAG